TTTTACCAGGGGCACAATAGGGCCAATTGGGTGACGACAGAAAATCTGCCAACCCCTCGAGATTATCACATCAGAAATAAATCCCGGCTGGCCTAAGGTAGGGCTATCATGCAGTAAAAAACCTTTTTCTTTTACTAAATTGCGAGCCCGGATGTTTTCTTCGTACCTTTTTTCTGCCGCATTATCAACGAATTTGTGAATTGTTAAGACTGGCCTGGTCGATGAAGAAGGATCTGCTGCCGCTGCTTTGTCTATGGCTGGGTCCTGTCGATTCGAGGAGAAAGGCCGCTTGGTGAAGCTCTTCTTGCCCATGGTGAAGGTGATTTCAGGAGTGGATGGTTTTTTTCTTGGGCTAGGCGGTGGGAGAGATCAGCGGCGGTTCTGGATAGAGAATGGGGGGGAAAAAAAAACTAGGGCAGGGGAAAATGAAGAAAGAGGATTTTCTAAAATGAGGGATCGAATGGGATTTGAATTTGGGCAATTTGAATTTAAGCCCAAAACGCCGTCGTTTTAAATGGCTGACATTATGCTCTAATAACTGCCAAAACGACGCCGTCCTATTTAAACCCCTTGACTTCTCGTTAAGGGTCGCAATGCCATGCGATGCTGCACGATGTTGCAGCAAAATATTGCTCCCATTTTTAGGCCTGCTCTATTCGCCTCTCAATTGCTGCAGCAATCCACAGCAACTTGATTCCTGTGAACTACACAGCCAACTGTGATACTTAACTGCCCTGCCACTGAATAGTAAAGTCAGTGCTTTGCTTGAAACCTCAAAATCAAAATGAGAAATATGATGAAATAAAAGAAATACACAACTCAAATTAAAAAGAAAGCATCAAGATAAAATGAAATGAAAAAAAAAACTAAAAACTTTGGGTTGCCTCCCAATAGCGCTTGTTTTTATGTCATCAGCCTGACGTCTTCCCTTTTTTAGTCATCGCTCAATGTGACAGAGGTCTTGGAACGCTCCATAGGTCCTCCCCAATAATGCTTGACACGTTGTCCGTTTACCAAGAACTTTCTCCCGGATTTCTCCTCTTGTAACTCCACAGCTCCATGTGGAAAAACCGTGGCTACTGTGAATGGTCCTGACCATCTGGATTTGAGTTTGCCTGGGAATAATTTCAACCATGAATTATATAGCAGCACCTGTTGTCCTGGTTCAAATTCCCTCGGTTTGATCCTCTTGTCATGCCATCTTTTAGTCTTTTCTTTGTACAACTTTGCGTTCTCATATGAGAACATCCGCATCTCTTCCAACTCATCTAATTGCAGCAACCTTGCTTGCCCAGCAGCTTGTAGATCCATGTTGAGCTTCTTTGTTGCCCAATAAGCCTTGTGCTCCAATTCTAATGGTAAATGGCATGCCTTGCCAAAAACAAGACGGTAGGGGGACATTCCCAAAGGTGTCTTGAAGGCTGTCCGGTAGGCCCATAGTGCATCATCTAATCGCAATGACCAATCCTTTCGGTTTGGGTTCACGACCTTCTCTAAGATTCCCTTGATTTCCCTGTTAGAAATCTCTGCTTGACCACTTGTCTGGGGGTGATATGCTGTGGCAACCTTATGCTTAACACCGTATTTGGCGAGCACCCCCTCAAATTGTCTGCTCACAAAATGAGTCCCCTCGTCACTTATCATGGCTCGTGGAGTCCCAAAACGAGTGAAAATATTATTATGCAAGAATTTGATCACCACCTTTGAGCATTAGTGGGGAATGCCACTGCCTCAACCCATTTTGATACATAATCAACTGCTACCAATATGTACAAGTTGCCATATGAGGGTGGAAAAGGCCCCATAAAATCAATTCCCCATACATCGAACAACTCAACTTCCAAGATATTAGTCAACGGCATTTCATGACGTTGTGAGATGTTTCCCACACGTTGACACCGATCACACATCTTGACAAATTCATAAGCATCTTTAAAGAGTGTAGGCCAAAAATAACCGGATTGTAATACCTTGGCAGCAGTTCTTGAACCCCCAAAATGACCTCCATATGGTGAAGCATGGCAATGATGCAAAACACTCAATGTCTCCTCTTGTGGAACACATCGCCTCCAAATTTGGTCCGCACCCTGTTTATATAGAAAAGGCTCCTCCCAATAGTAAGATTTCATATCATGGAAGAATCGCTTCATCTGCTGTCGGCTCATTTCCGGAGGTGCCTTGCCACTTGCCAAAAAATTTGCTAAATCCGCATACCATGGCAGTGAAGCTTGCTGCACTACAAGGAGCTGCTCATCGGGAAATTTCTCCTGAATAGGAATATGTGACTCAGCCCCATTCCCTTGCTCGAGTCTAGAGAGATGGTCTGCCACTTGATTTTCGGTTCCCTTCCTATCTTTGATTTCAAGATCAAATTCCTGAAGTAGCAAGATCCACCGAATCAACCTTGGTTTGGCATCTTTCTTTGAGATGAGGTATTTTATGGCTGAGTGGTCTGTATATACCGTCACCTTTGTCCCCACAAGATAAGATCAAAACTTGTCAAAAGCAAATACCACAGCCAATAGTTCTTTTTCTGTAGTGGTATAATTCAATTGGGCATCAGTAAGTGTTCTGCTAGCATAATAAATAGAATGAAATAGCTTCCATTTTCTCTGGCCGAGCACTGCCCCCACTGCGTGATCACTGGCGTCGCACATCAGCTCAAATGGAAGTGCCCAATCCGGTGCAACAATCACAGGGGTTGTCACAAGTGCTCTCTTCAAATCAGAAAATGCACGCTGACAATCTTCATTAAAGTCGAATGATCTGTTTAGCTCCAAAAGAAGGCATAATGGCTTGGATACTTTAGAGAAATCCTTGATAAATCATCTATAAAAACCAGCATGCCCTAAGAAACTCCGAATTCCCTTGACAGAGCTAGGAGGGGGCAATTTCTCAATGATTTCTATCTTTGCTCTATCCACTTCAATGCCTTTTTGTGAGACTTTGTGGCCCAAAACAATCCCTTCTGTCACCATAAAATGGCATTTTTCCCAGTTTAGGACCAAGTTGGTTTCTTCACACCTTTGAAGCACCTTAGTTAAATTTTTCAAGCAGTCACCAAAAGAATCACCAAAAATTGAGAAATCATCCATAAACACCTCCAAAGTCTTTTCTACCATGTCAGTGAAAATTGTCAGTGAAAATCTCCGGCATGTCGCTGTAGCATTGCACAAACCAAATGGCATTCTTATGAAAGAGAAATTTCCAAGCGAAAGTTCCATATGGACAAGTGAATGGTCCTCTGGTGCTACAGCAATCTGGTTATAGCCTGAGTATCCGTCCAAGAAACAATAAAATTCCTTCCCAACGAGTCTATCCAGCATTTGATCAATAAATGGTAGTGGGAAATGATCCTTTCTAGTGGCGGCGTTGAGCTTTCTATAATATATGCACACCCTCCAACCAGTCACGGTTCTAGTGGGTATCAATTCATTGTGTTCATTGGCCACCACTGTCACTCCCCCTTTCTTTGGTACACACTGGACAGGACTGACCCAAGAACTGTCTGAAATTGGGTAAATGATCCCTGCATCCAGCCATTTGATGATTTCCTTCTTCACCACATCCTTCATGACGGGGTTCAATCTTCATTGCTGTTCCACAGAATTGCTGCAGCAATCTTCCTACAGGATTTTATGCATACATAGGGAAGGGCTGATCCCTTTAATATCAGCTATCGACCATCCCATAGCCCTTTTATGCTTTCTAAGGACTTCAAGCAGCATATCCTCCTGTTCCTCATCCAAAGTGGATGATATTATTACTGGCAAAGTATCTTCCTCACCCAAGTAAGCATACTTCAAATGAGTTGGTAAAGGCTTCAATTCCAACACCGGTGGTTCTTCAATTGATGGCCTAGGAGGCTTCAAATTTCTCTCAGATAAATCCAGCGACTCAAATGGTCTTCTTTGACAAACAGCCACTTGATCGGTTTCTCCCAGTAATGCGGGTGAATCATCATCAACTTGCTCAACCTCCAATGCAGCATTTGAGACATCCTCTTCCTCTATTTCCTCATAAGCATTCTTATTAAGTTCTTCCATCACAAGAGCATCTAATACACCCACAGCCGAACATTCTTCAACCTCATCTGGAAAGCGCATAGCATTGAGAACATCAAATGTGACCTGCTCATCGTCAACTCGCATAGTAAGTTTACCTTTTTGCACATCAATCAATGTCTTTCCAGTGGCTAGAAATGGTCTACCCAAAATAATGGGTACCTCCTTGTCTGCTTCATAATCCAAGACCACAAAATCCACCGGAAAAATGAATTTATCAACACGCACCAACACATCCTCAATTTTTCCCTCCGGATGAACAAATGATCAATCGGCAAGTTGAAGGGTGACTGTAGTTGGCCTAGCTTCACCAATACCTAGCTGCTTAAAAACAGACATTGGCATTAAATTTATGCTTGCACCCAAATCACACAAGGCTTTACCAAAATAAGTGTTGCCAATCGAACATGGGATTGTGAAACTCCCTGGGTCCTTCAATTTAGGTGGTAAGGTGCTTTGAGAAATCAGCCCGCACTCTTTTGTAAGTGCCACTGTCTCGAACTCACCCAAACGCCTCCTTTTGGAAAGAATTTCTTTCATAAATTTTACATAATTTGGCATTTGCTCAAGAGCTTCAACTAATGGGATATTGATATGAAGTTGTTTCAGCACGTCAAGAAACTTCCCAAACTGCTTGTCCTGTTGTTTCTTCTGAAATCTTTAAGGAAAGGGCGGTGGTGGTTTGTTCTGGCATGTTCCTGCGGCTTCTTGCTGCTGTTGCGTTGCTGCAGCAACACTAGTTTCTACCTCATCTTGACTTTGTACAGGGTTCATGTGGCCATCCTGCCTTTCTTCCTTTTGGATCGAAGAGGGATCTTCATCTAGCTTGTTTTTCTCCTGTGGCCGCTCCAATGCTTTTCCACTTCTCAATTAAATGGCTTTGCAATGCCCCTTGCCTTCCCACCTAGGATTTTCCGTATTGCTTCGAAGAGTGCCCTAGGGGCGATTAGTTAAAGCATTTGCAAGTTGCCCAATTTGAGTTTCCAAGCTTCTCAAGGTTGAATCATAGCTCTGCATCTTAGCCTCGTTCTTCGTTATATATTCCTTAAAGAAATTCTCCATGGAATTTGAACTTTCACCGGCTTGAATCCGCATTGGCTGAGCTGGTTGTGCTAAACCCGGCTGCTGAGCTGGTCTATTATACTGAGGAGCACCACTAGGACCTGCTCCTTGATTACTCCAAGAGAAATTGGGATGTTGTTTCCATCCTTGGTTGTGTTGATGGTTGTAAGCATTGTTGCGGTTGTAGTTACTCACATAACAAACTGAAGCGGGATTCAACGGACATTCATCAAATAGGTGTCCCTCCCCACAATATACACAGGAGATTGCAAGGGCCTGGACAGAATTCACTCCAGTTGAAGTCTTCATAGTTTTTATCATGTTAGTTAAATTTGACACTTGAGCCGAAAGAGCAGTGATTGCATCCACTTCAAGAACTCCCGGTGTTTTCCTTGTGGGTAGTCTCTCGGTTGGCCATTGATAATGATTCGTGGCCATCCTCTCCAGAATCTCATTGGCCTCATTGTAAGATTTGGCCAAAAGAGCACCATTAGCTGCGGCATCAACCATTACTCTGGTTGGCTCATTGAGACCATTATAAAAAGTCTCCATTTGAATCCAATGGGGAATACCATGTAATGGACACTTTCTGAGCAGTTCCTTAAACCTTTCCCATGCCGCATAAACTGACTCTCCATCGCCTTGATGAAAAGAGGTAATGTCATTTCTCAACTTGGCGTTCTTTGTCGGAGGGAAATACTTCATAAGAAACTTTTCAGCCATATCACTCCACGTTGCAATGGAATCAGCAGGTAAGCTATTAAACCAAGCTCTAGCACGATCCCTCAAAGAGAAAGGGAAAAGTGTTAGCCTTAAAGTTTCTGGAGGAACTCCCGGTAGCTTGAATATATCGCTAACTTCCATGAATAACCTCAAATGTTGATGAGGATCGTCTGTCGCCATACCGCTGAATTGTCCCAC